AAAAGAAGACTGGAATCTGGATTCTCAATCAAGAATTCATCCCAAATCTGGAAGCTCTACCCATCAATAGGCCCTGACTAGATACTGTGACGTAGCTGAACCCAAATTGTACACTCCACCTTTTTTTCCCTGGTACTTATTGTCGCTTTATGCATTCTCTTGATAATCCACTAAATATTTATTTAGGAAATAAAAATGAAAAATAATATCCTTCATCTGAGCGAAGATTTCTGTGCTCGATCAAAGAATTAGGAAAGCAAAGGTTTCCTCTGCTGACCAAAGTGGTGGACAGCAGCCTCCGAGTTGCACTGTTAGAACGGTGAATTTCAGGAAATGGACTGAGTGGTAGTCAAAGCCCATGGAACAAATTTACCAAAGCAACCATAGATGTTGGTGCCCCTCCCTTCCTGTGGAATCATTGCTGTCCTGGGTTAGTGAAAGCTTCATCCACAAATACTGTACAGGAGGGACTCGCATTCTGGCTGAGAGACTAGACAAATGATCACTGACGTTATCTTTTAGCCTCAGTGTTTCATAGTTTGCTCCTTTTTCTTTCCTTAGTTGTTCTATCTCCCTGGCCCCTTTTCTTCCTTTCTTCACTCCTGCTTCTCTTTTCTCCTCTGCCTCTACCCTTACTCTTCTGTGAGAAACAAAAGGTAGGCATGAGGATGGAGCGAGAAAGGGAGACAATGGAGAACAGAGAAAGACGTGGAGGTCTTCCAGGGCATGCTGGTGAGGATGATGTTAAAAAAAAAAAAAAGACTCAGAGAAAGGGAGAACAGGAGAGAATGGGAGACAAGGAAGAAGGAAGGGTCAGGGGAAGACAGAAGGCACAGAAGGAAGGAAACTAAAGGAAGCAGGGAGAAGCCATTAGAGAACTGGACCATTTGCTACATTTATGAAGCACCTGAAACTTGAAGTGGATGAGTTCCTTAAGACACGGACTCGATGAATAAAGGGTGGTTGCATCTTATATTCCTTCTATTTTCAAAAGGAATTGAAGGAGGCTTACAATGAAAGACAGATACACTCAAACCATTCAAAGAACAAGGGCAATGAAGGAGGTGAGGAAAACTACTGTTAACTGAGCACAAACTTTTTCTTAGCCCTGAACTCCAAAAAGCAGTGTATCGTGGGGGACATTGAACATGTCATTCCCAGGTTCTTTTCACGGTCCTTTCTTCTAAGAGACTCTCCATAAAGCTGAGGATAATGCAAAATCATCATGTTATGAAGATATTTCTTTCTTATGCTCTTATTTTTTGTTTTTAGTAACTTTTAACTTTGATATAGTTTCAAACTTATAGACAAGTTGCAAGAACATCACAAAGAACTTTCATTTACCAAAGTTCTCCAATTATGAACATTTTACCACATTCGCTTTACCATTTTCTTCTCTATTACTCCCCATCCCCTCTCTGTCTTTTTTCCTTGAAGCATTGGAACATAAGCTGCAGACATTGATGCCCCTTTACTTCTAATAAATACACAGGAAACTATTCTGGTGGGAAACTAGAATATGACAGTGTGCCTTTGTGGCTTTCACTAATACCAGACTATATGGAAAGAGTTTCGTGGGGCAATCAGGTTGGAAGGGGAAGAGGGCTAAGAAACTTGTCTTAATCCGCACTCATTTAGCAAGTGACTATCTCTTTCTTAGATTTATTTAGGTGGATAAAATTAGCCAAATCTTCCAAAGCTACTTCTACTCACACTTTACGTAGGATTGAGAAAACATCAATTGTCCACATCAACTAATATAAATGGCAGGGGAGATGGCTTTGGTAGGGAGCCCAAATGCCCCATCCAAGAAACCTCAGGACCACGACTGCTTAAGACAAAGGTAAAGAACCCAGAGGATCACTGCTCACATGTATAGGGCTTTGTTGACTCTAAAAACACTTAGAAAATTTTAAAAATGTCTGAAATTAGAATATGTCTTACAATCACTGACATAATTACAATTTGCAGCCCCCTAGCCTTTATATTAGTACATAAAATATTGGTGCATCCTATAAATGATAGCTTCTTAGCTTAAATGATCTAAGATATGTTGTTTAGCTCTATGGGTCTCAGCCTGTATGTTACCAGGAAGAAGGAAGCAGAAGCAAGTCAGGGGGAGCATAGGGTTTGGGTATTAACTCCTCTGTCATCTCCATCCTCTCCATTCCCAGCACATGCCTGCAGGATCCTACAGCTCCTCCCGCTGCCAGACCCTCAGTCACCTTAGACACTTGGTGTATCTCCTTATTTCTGTTTCTCTGCCTACTAGCACGTTAACATGTGTCTCATTACTGATTCCTGCCCATCCCACATGTCAAAGACTTGCCAGAGATTGCTGCTTCTACTCCACTGTCCTCTGTGTGCTTGTGCGTATGTGGTTGGAGGGGTTTGGAAGAGCATAGGGCTCAGCCATAAAGCCAACACGGGGATTATGCTAGAGAGAAATCCCATGAAGAAAACCAGCTTCTACACTGATGACATTAGGGCTTAGCTTTCTTGGCTACTGGCTCCAGGCACAATGCATCTATTTCATTTGCTATTTTATTACTATTACTATTACTATTACTATTCTATTACTATTACTATTTTGGGTAATTCTTCAACCCAAAATGGAGGGATGGACAGAAGTGGGGGTACATGAAAACTGACAGGGCTCTTATCTTTGGTTTCCTAGCATGTTCCCCCCACCCCCATCCCTCTTTTTCTGAAAATAGACCTAGCTCTTTGGCCACAAGGGTGGCCTGATGCCAGTCTGGCACAAATACAGTCCTTCCAGGGGCCTGGATAATGACCTTGGAAGAGAGATAGTCTTTTTCTTGGGGTGGTTAATTGGAAGCTGCCTATGGCCAGCTTTCCCACCACTTAAAGAGAGTATTCAGAACAAAGCCCAGGCAGAGACTAGCATACTAGACATGGAGGAGAGCAGCCCCACATCCTTCCACTCTGTGTGGTACCACCATTATCCTTTCCTGCAAGGGAGCCAGTGCATTCCTGTCCTGCTTAAACAAGCTTAAGCTGGATTTCTGTTCTATGGAATCAATACAATACAAGGTATTTTAAACCTCTGCTTTGAACTCTCTCTCTAGCTTAGCTGTTCTTTTGAAAGTTATTTGTACCAAACAGTTCAAGTTTGAGATTTGGGAGGGCAAAATCCCCATATTCTGTGCTGTTGACTGAGAGAGGATCACTGCACCTTAGACACTGGCTTTGGTTGAAAAGTTGTGATAATTAAAGAGCCTGGTGTGGATTTTCACTTGGAGGGAGGGCTCTACCATGAACTGGCTCAGGGGACCACACAGGCCTCTTTGGATTCACTTGTGTCTTCACCAGGTATCAAATGGGCCCTCCAACAGAGGTCTACACCACAGATCGTGGGAGAATCCCAGGCCTGCAGATTTTAAAGATGTTACCAAAGCCAATCATTTTGGTTTGTCATAAGAGATAAGGGTCTATCTTTCAGACATCATCTGCCCAACTGGTTACTCTGCTTTTTAGAGACATGTCCTATAAGAGCTGAGCCCAAGGCATCATAGCTTGGAGGGGATGACTGAACTAAAGTAAAGTATGCATCTAATTTATCTAAAAACTATATGACATTATTCAGGGATTAAACAGTAGGTCTTAGGAACAGTCTTGTTTTGTATTTTTAAGATAGGAATTTACTTGGTTCAAAGGCACCTCCATCCGATTCTGATAGAGACATTGTGATAAAAGCTTTCAGGAACGTTGATAGCTCAGAATTGGCACTAGCCCACAGATAATTCTTGTTTACTAAATTAAAGTCTATTGAGAGATTGATACACGTTGCAGTCTTGAATTATTAGGCAAGAGTCTTGCTAAAGCTGGACACTGTAAGGTTGTTATAAAATAAATTTCAAAGGATATGTACGCTAACACAGCCCAGGGAATCCAATGCTTATTTACTCAGTTGCTCAAAAACTAACTTCATTAGGGATCTGAGAACCCCATCATGAAGTGTGAAATCATTTTCAGAGAACCTCCCAAAAGCTCCTGAACAGGGAATTTACCAAAGGGCATTTTCTTATCAGATTAGATATTTTATTGTTGGTTTCACTCTCTCAAAAAGTCACACTCTTTTCAGATGCCCCTGTATTTTTCTTTAAAATGTAGCTAGTTATTCCAAAGTCAGCTATGAGGCACAGTCCATAGGCTCCCTCATTCAAAACCAATTTATTTGCAAAAGGTGAGCAGACCATTTCTTCTGGGTCCTCAGAATCCTCAATTCTGTAAACAAAAACAACTATTCCAAAAAATCCTTCTAGCTTTTTTTTTTTTTAAGGCAAGCAGGAAAGAAGGCACTTGTGCTTTTCACCTGAAGATTTCCTTCTGCATAAACTTGTATGATAGGGTCTTCGTGGGTTCAAATCTTGGTTCCACCTCTCTTACTTGCTAGTAAGAGGGAAGGTGGGAGGGTAGAAAACCACCCCACTTTGACCATGCAAGCATTTAGATAATTTCCTTAGAAAGGAGTAATTTAAGACTATATCGTATGATTGTAATTGTATTATAGTGCTTGTTATCTTGGGTAAATCACATAACCTCTCTGAACCCGTTTCCTCCTCTGCAAACTGGGAAACAACAGAGATTCCCAGCGCGTGTTAAGCTCAAGGCACAGGTCTGTCACGTGGTAAGCGCCCAACTTCTTTACTTAAACTTAATGACCCCGGAGGCTCTGAAGTACACTTCTACCTGTGTAACTACCATACGTCCCACCCTCCCCCCGGGCTTGTTCTTTCCTCAGCCTAGCGGAAAAGACCCTTCCTCTCCAGGGTCTTTAAAATACTTTGTACTAGCCAGCAGGAAAGGGCGCAGTGGCCGGCCAGGGAGGCTACAGCTGCCCAAGTACCTCCTGCTTCCCTTTTGAAAGAAGAGTACTCATTCGGAGAGCACGCGCGCCCAGACCTGGCCTCTGGGTGGCAGCCCTGGCGGGCGCGGCTGTGCGTGCGCCGCTGAGGGTGGTGGTGGCCCGCACCCCGCCCTCGGCCGCCGCCCCCGCCGCCGCCTGGCGTGTCAGGTGCCGTGAGAAGCGCCGAGGGATATGACTGGAGCCGACTTTCCAGAAGCGGCGCACGCAAGGCATAGCTCCGCACGCAAGGGGGAGGCGACAGCAGAAGAAACTTTTCAACCCGATAAAGTTCGCAGGCGCGCTTAGATTGGCCTCCTCCTCCTTTCTTTCCGCCTCCTCCCTCCAGGAATCTCCAGAGCACCCTCCCTCCCCTCCTCTCCCCAGTGTTCGTCCCGGCTTGGTTCCGGGCTGGGAGCCAAGGGCCTCGGACGCGGCCAGCGCGGCCCCGCGATCTCCAGTGGGCGGCGCCACCTGGAGGAGCTTCTACGCGGGAAACTTCGGGGCCAGCTGCGGCGCGCCAGTGCTGGCCTTTGTGTGCCAGGGACGGTCGGGGCCCCGGGGCGGGGGAGCAGCGTCTTTCAGGGATTCTTGATCTCGCCGCGCAAGGTGGAGGGAGAACTTTGTGCAGCAAAGGGCCTGATCTGACTGGCCGATTTATGTGCAAGAACGTTAAGATAAAATAAAAATAAAACAACGTGGGATGCTGTAAGGCAAACCGCCACCACAAGCGAGATTTCCTCGTTTCCAAACTGACGGGTTTCCTTTCCAGGTTCGGGCGCCCAGGGATCCCGAGCGGTTTTCTCTTGGGGAAGGAAGCTGAAGTCACCGAGAGGGAAGGGAGGTCGGGCTCTCGGGACGTGGAGCGCGTTCTCACCCAGAGCGCAGAGGGCTGCTCAGGTTCTGTCCCGAGCGCGCGTCCTGGGAAACCGTGTGGCCTCGATCGGGGCTAATTGTGAAGAGTGGGTTTCAGGGAAACGAAAATTTCATTCCACGGCTTCCAGGAAAGCTGCCAGCTACTGCGCCAAGGCCGTCGGGGCAAGCCGGGGGCGCCTCGCGTGACAGCCCTCGCGAGGCGACCCCAATTGGAGTCCTAGAGACTTGGACCTTCCCGACGCGCCCCGCCCCCCGTAAGCCCCGCCCCTGCCAGGTCCGACTACCTCCTCCCCCAACGCAGACCTTAAAAAAGAAGCGGGATGGCGCGTTTTGACTCTCCCGAGTGACGGTGTACAAACCCGCCACGCTTCTGCGACGCCAGCTGTCAGAGCCGTGCGGGAGCGGTGAGGGCTGGGAATAGACTCCATTCATCGACCCCCAATAGCAATTCCCACGCAGTAAGAAAACCCTGACTTTGCCGAGGCCCCAGGTGCAGCTGGGCTCGGCAAAGGAGGTATCTTTCTCCATTCCCATTCCAATCCAAGCGTCCCTGGCTCTGACGACGCCTAGAGACTGCAGAGTGGGCGCTAAAGCTCCCAGAGCTGGCAACAGGTGTCCAGCGCGGGCCCCCGACTTCCTGGAGACACTCGGGTTACCGTCTTGAACCCCACAAAGATCTCAGACGGTTCTCGGAGCCTGGCGCTGCTGGAAACCGCGCCTCCTCGCAGGTCAGTCTGTTGGTGGAGCTACGTTCCCGCGGCCTCTTGCGATGGGTTCTCTCAATAAGGGGTGGCGGGGGGATGCGCAGGGGCCAGGATGGTAAGCATTTTGAAGGGACTGAGCGCCACCGCCTTGATGTCCGCTGTGTTGCCCCCAAATTGCAGGAACCGTTAGGCAGCTGGTGCAGTGTGGGGGGTCTGGGTCAGATAGAGGTGGAAACGGAACCCTTTACTTCGCCTTTGGGGATGGGTTTGGGGTGGCAAGAGGCATTTTCAGCTGCTTCTCCAGTGAGCCAACCCTGACCTAACCTACGCACGACCTCCTCCCTACCCAGCAGCGCATTGTAGCCCTAGGCTGGGGGTAGGGGCGGGTCGTCCGACCCGTTCTCTGCCTACCTGAGTGTCACGCGTTCACTCTTATCTCTGCAGCATGGCCACCAGCCTTAGCCCGGAGGATCATCTGCCGCCGATCCCTCTGTCTGCCCAGCAGACCACGCTCCTGCTGCTCCTCTCGGTGCTAGCCGCGGTGCACATGGCCCAGAGGCTCTTGAGGCAGCGGCGGCGGCAGCTGGGGTCCGCGCCCCCGGGTCCTTTCGCATGGCCTCTTATCGGAAACGCGGCGTCGATGGGCCCGGCGCCGCACCTCTCATTCGCACGCCTGGCGCGGCGCTACGGCGACGTCTTCCAGATCCGCCTGGGCAACTGGCCGGTGGTGGTGCTGAACGGTGAGCGCGCCATCCGCCAGGCCCTGCTGCAGCAGGGCGCCGCCTTTGCCGACCGGCCGCCCTTCGCCTCTTTCCGCGTGGTGTCGGGTGGTCGCAGCCTGGCTTTTGGCCAGTACTCGGAGAGCTGGAAGGCGCAGCGGCGCGCGGCGCACAGCACGATACGAGCCTTCTCCACGCGCCAGCCGCGCGGCCGCCGGATCCTCGAGGGCCACGTGCTAGCTGAGGCGCGGGAATTGGTGGCGCTGCTGGTGCGCGGCAGCTCGGGCGGCGCCTTCCTGGACCCGCGGCAGCTGACCATAGTGGCCGTGGCCAACGTCATGAGCGCCGTGTGCTTCGGCTGCCGCTACAGTCACGACGACGCCGAGTTCCGCGAGCTGCTCAGCCACAACGAGGAGTTCGGGCGCACAGTGGGAGCGGGCAGCCTGGTGGACGTACTGCCCTGGCTGCAGCGCTTTCCCAACCCCGTGCGCACCGCCTTCCGCGAATTCCAGCAGCTCAATCGCAACTTCAGCAACTTTGTCCTCGACAAGTTCCTGAGGCACCGCGAAAGCCTTCGGTCCGGGGCCGCTCCCCGCGACATGATGGATGCCTTAATCCTCTCGGCGGGAAAGGAGGCGGGCTCGGGCACGGACGTGGCGTACGTGCCGGCCAGCATCACTGACATCTTCGGCGCCAGCCAGGACACACTCTCCACCGCGCTGCAGTGGCTGCTTATCCTCTTCACCAGGTAAAGCCTCCAGGAGGCTTGGGCTGGCCTTCCTCCCTTCCTCTGTAAAAGGTGGGGTGGAACTAGAATGTGCTGAGGTCGCCGAGGTCGCGACTAAGTCGCGAGATTTCGCTCGAGATTTCGCTCGAGGTCCCTGTCAGAAAGTGCGGCTCAGGAAGGCTCAGTGCGGGAGGAGACCTGAGCGCACGCAGACCCAACCCAGCGGCGCCCTTTCGGCTCCGCATCTCTGAGTGGGTACAAATTTGTGTGAAACCTCCTGGAAAAACAAGATTTTTTTAATGCCCGCAGACCAGCCCTGATCTCCCACCCTGGCACAGGAGAAGCCGAACTGGAACGGTTCTGAAGGAAAGGGCCACGCAGTAAATATGTTAAATAAACAGCAGCCTAGACTAGTCTTAAGCGCGGATCCGAGGCTGCTCGGCCCTGAAGCTAAAAGTAAGCCGCTTGTCAGGTCTTTGTTCCCCGGTAAAGGCAGCTCTCGGAGGCAGGCCTGGCCCCACGGACGGCTAATCTCAGGCGTTAAGAAAGCGGCCAGAAACCAGCAGACTGTGCTAGGTTTATAAAACCGCCGCGCTAGGAGAAGTGTCGGTGTAAAGAATGGGAGACGCAGTAACTTTACCGAACGCAGAACAGCTTTTAAAACGGCAAATGGGAGGCACTGTGGTCCTCTAGGGCCTTGCGCTCGGCTCGGGTAGCTCACCGAATCTAAGAGTTCTGCTAAATTTCTACACGCACGAATTAAACAGATTCCCGGTAGCCTCAGACTGAGCAAATAAAACATAAATTTTACACAGGACATAGATTAGCCATTGTTTATCTGAAATTCACGTTTAACTGGGCGGCCTGTGGTGTTTTGTCCGGCAACCTTACCCCGGGGTTTTATCATTCAAGGCAAATCTTGATAGCCTTTGAGCGACCAGAAATCCTGGTTGTGCACTTCCTTGGCGCACGGGTAGGCGGTAGGGGAAGCTGAATTTGTGGCGCCTTTAGAAACTGGAAAGTAAAGACAGCTTCTTTTGTTGTTAGATCCCACTAAATTAGACTATTACATTTCCTTAGATACTGTACAGCTGCTTTCACAATTTTTTGGTATATTTAAAATCACTTCAGTATTAATATCATAGAAACACATATGGAGGAGCGACAGAAATCGAATAAAGAGAAGTCAGGAGTGATAGATCAGGAAGACAATGATTCTAAAATGAATTCAACAGGTCTTTTACATCCCCTGATTTGCACGTTATTTTTTGAAACGTCTTTTCCACTTGAAACCACATTGAAATCTTTCTGCGTGTACTCCAATTGGGCAGCAAAAGGAAATAAAACAATTTTGGGGTCGCTTTCAATTCAATAAAGCTGATGAGTCCCTTTTTTTTCTTTTTAGTGAAAAGACAATATGACAGATGGCAAATTACACTCCCTATTTAAGTTTTATGAGAATATAGCTATGCCCATTCATTTATGCACTGTCTATGGGTACTTTCACATTACAGCACAAGGCAGAGTTGAATAGTTGTGAGGCAGAGAGTTTGACCTACAAAGCCTAAAATATTTACTATCTGGCCCTTAGGAAAATTTTGCAGACTCCTGAAGTATGATGCTAAAGAAGCAATTTTTAAAATCACCCATACTTTCATCAAATACATGCTTACATTTTTTTCAGAGTTGCAATAATTATTTACAAATGTTTTGGCGTCTGACATTTCCATTTACTGCAGTGGACGCTTCCTCATCTCTTAAACTTTATTTTAGTAATTTTTGATGGCTACGTAGTATTTTGCCATAGTAACATATCGTTGGATATTGCCATCTCTTGTACTTTAACGTTCTAGATTGCATTTTTAAAATATCAGCTATTGTAGCTATATATTTTGGACCTGCTAAGTTATTGCTTGAAAATACATTTCTAGGCATGGATTCCTGGGTTTAAAAATGTTGGGGAGGAGTTACCCTTATGGATCTTGCTTTGTAATAAGATTTTGTTTTCCAAAAAGATTGTTCTGGTTTTATCAGCAACAGTGAATAAGCATTCCAGTTTGTACCATAATTTCATGAACATTGGGGACTTGCTTTTAAATTTAGAAGTTATGTAGCTTTATCTATCAGGGTATCAATTACCTTTGTATAAAATGAGAACAATGTGTCTGCTGGAATTGTCTAGGGAGATGAGGAAAAAAAGGAACCGCTTTCAGGACAACACTTTAATTTTTGTGAGCCCAGCGTGCTTTTGCCTTTGCAGACTCCTTAGTCCATAAACAAATTTTTAAGTAAATATTATGACTACATTGGTATAAAGAAAGATATATTACAATTATGTATTAAAACATTTTCTTTGACTTAAAAGTTCATTTTCTTCTGATTTTAAGAGAAATGAAAACATTTTCGTGGGTCCTTAGGCACAGCCCCAGCCGTGACTAATGGAAAAGTCGGCCTCCATTGCTGCGCTTTTTCAGACTGAGAAAACTTATAAAGTCTTTTTTTTTTTTCCTGACTTATGATAGGAAAGAGAGTTTGAGCCACTGGAGGCTTATTACAAGAAATACAACTTGTATTCTATCTTATAATTCAGTGGTAAATTAAGAAACTGTTTTAGGTTGTTTTGTTGTTGTTGGAAATGTTCATTCACTTACTGATTCAGATAGCCAGTTTAAAGAAAAGTGATATTAAAATAAATTGCAATGTGTTTTCTAGATAAAAGAAGAATTCGTTTTCCTCACTCCTTTCCTCTCTCTGCATTAAAAATCAAATAGGTATCCAGAAGTGCAGACGCGGGTACAGGCGGAACTGGACCAAGTGGTGGGTCGGGACCGCCTGCCCTGCCTGGATGACCAGCCCCACCTGCCCTACGTCATGGCCTTTCTTTATGAAGCCATGCGCTTCTCTAGCTTTGTGCCAGTCACCATCCCTCACGCCACCACGGCCAGCGCGTCTGTCTTGGGCTACCACATCCCCAAGGACACAGTGGTTTTTGTTAACCAGTGGTCCGTGAATCATGACCCGGTGAAGTGGTCTAACCCAGAAGACTTTGATCCAGTCCGATTCTTGGACAAGGATGGCTGCATCAACAAAGACCTGGCCAGCAGCGTGATGATTTTTTCAGTGGGCAAACGGCGGTGCATCGGGGAAGAGCTTTCCAAGATGCAGCTGTTTCTCTTCATCTCCATCCTGGCTCATGAGTGCAATTTCAGGGCCAATCCAGACGAGCCCCCGAACGTGGATTTTAATTACGGCCTGACCATTAAACCCAAGTCATTCAAAATCAATGTCACCCTCAGAGAGTCCATGGAGCTCCTTGATCACACTGTGCAAAAGTTACAAGCCGAGGAAGACTGCCACTAAGAAGCCAGAGGCAAGCAGAAATGTGATAAGTACTTGGGGGCATGGGGAGTAAAATTAGCATGTTTGTTTGTTTTTTTTTCCTGGCTCCTCAGTTAGCCTCTAAAGTGAGCATATACCAACTGACCCGCAGATAATGTGCTTCACGCACGTGTCCTCAGAATGGCACCTCGTGAGTGCTGGGCTGTGCAGAGGCTCTGGGAGAGTTTTGGAGTCAAAGAGTGAAAGGGCCCAAAGAATTTTTATACATACCTAATGCTGGTAATAATAATTTCTTGAGGGAGCATTCTTTGGAGTTAAAAAAAACATGAGCACACATACAGAACTACCTGATTTCAGTAGCCACACTGTGCAGGGTGGGATCCAAATTTGATGTTCTGTGTGCACAAGTCAGCTCCATAGAAATTTGTATTAAGCAAAGTTTCAGAAAATGTTGTTAAATGCACAAAGGCAAATAATTTCAGTGTAAGATACGTGATTTGGGGTGATAAGGGAAAAGGTGAAGACCAGAAATTCCCTTCTCACCTTTTCAAAGAAACAGCTTAGTTAGACGCTAATATCTATGGGTGGATTTCTCTTTTTGCTCACTGATATTCTTTCTCTTACTTTTTGGGTCATCATAGAGTCATTTGCTTGAGAAGAAATTAATAGTAATTGATTTAGTGGGTTTCAGTGATTTATTATGAATTTTTAAGTGAAAATTGTTTAATTGTAAACAATTCCAAGCTGAAACCATACCTCTCTTGGGTGCCAGAGTACAGAATTTCAATTATGAGCAAAAACAAAAACAAAAAATTTCTTACCAGCTCAACTAAGCTTTAAATTATATGATTGTAATGTACTGATTTCAGTAACTGTCATATGTTAAAAAAAGTCACCGAATAGTATTCAAAGTATATACATATATTACATAATTATCCATAAGCAATTATATATTAGATACTTTAGTATTAAGTAGTATTAGTTATTTTGGTCAAGTAAAGGTTGAACAATGTCTTTTATAATGTCATAGCAAATAAAAAGTACAACCAATTTAACCAGTTTTGGTTCAAATACATGATAGGAGCTTGATTAAATCAGCCACTTATTTTTGACATCATGGAAACCGAGTTGAAGCAGTCTCTTTTCTCATTCAAAACTTGGATGAGAATTGAAAAAAATCTCAAAATTGGATCTGTAAAATGTGTTCCTTATCACTTGACAACATATATATTAAAATTATATTCACAATACAGAATCTCTTTGAAATTGATCTAGTTAATATGTTATCATTCCAAACTCTTGGCATGCTTAAAATTTAATTTAATTTTAAAGCTATTCTGATTATTGCATTCCAGTTTAAGTTACTGGAAATCTGACCATTAGCCTGTGGAAGGCAGAGAGATTTAACCTATGTCTGCCGGATGAATAGTGAAAAATGCAATGAATTATCTGGATGTTCTCTATTAAATAAACTAGGGGGCAATTTCCCATTATAATGGAGTTAGTTTCTCTTTTAAATGAGTTTTTAAAAGGTAGCATTGGTGTTTGTGTTTTGGGAAGTGAGAATCTGTCTTGGGAGGTTGTGTTGAGGATTGCATTGTGTTTCAGTGGAGTCAGTCAGATCAGATGTACTGCTTGAGATGGCCAATGCAGTGAGCAGTCACTTTGGTAAGTGTGAAAACATAAAGCTTGAACAAAATGTTGATGTTCGGTTTATGTAAATAACCTGAAAACCTTTTTTAAAAAAAAGTGACGGAAGATCGCAAAAGTACAAAGTGAAGTTTGAAGTTGGAACTTTTGGTGCTTGTAAACATCCAAAGGAAGTTGTGGAGTTGTGCTGGGTCCTAAAAGCTTACTGCTTGTTACATTTTATTAAGCTTTTTGGAATCTTTTTATCAAAATGATAAAGGAAGGAGTGTATGATGGTTCTGTGTGGGAGTGGTAAGAGAAAAGAATGGAAAAGAAAAATGATTAAACATTTCTCCACTCATTTAAAATTAATTTGAAGTATGACTACAAAAAAGATGTTTTGCATGCAGTGTTAAATCCCAAGTAGATGAAAAAGAAGTCTACAACACAGCAGCTCAATTTTATAAATTGAAATTTTTATTAATACAAATTTGATGTAATTTTAATTTATAAAACCTTACAGCCTAATCTCTTGAATATGAAAAACTGTGCCAGTATTTTTAAAGGCACTAAAGTCATCTATTGAAATCAGGCTTACCCAATGCATTTCAATTTTTTGGACACTAACTATTCTAAAACATTGTTATCCACCCTTCCCTGCCCCTGGAGCAGGGTGAGATGGTAATTTGGGGCTGCCCTAGCCTACTTGCTCTGAGAGATGTGTGGCTGCAAAAGTAACATGTACCAATCTGAATGCCTCATTAAGTCAACCAGGTCCAGATGTGCTGTAATCTGTTTTTATGTGTGTAGGTTCAGTTCATCTGCTTGTGGACATAGAAGAAAGTAAGGTGGGCGCGGGGAGGTTTCCTGGCTTATTTAATATGTTTGTAACCCAGTTGAAGGAAGGAAAGCAAAACCAAAACAAACAAATAAAAAGAACCACATTTAGGGGCTACCGTAATCAGGTTACTGGCTTAATCAGAAAACCTCATTTAATTTCTGCTAGAGAAAGTGTATTTGCCTGTCACCGCTTTAGACAGAACATCTACTCAAGGTTATTGCAATAGTTAAAGTATATCGTTCATTAAATGCTTCATTTATATATCAAAGTTTTGATTTTGTAAGAAAATTGCTTTTTTCCCAAAACAAGAGGAAGATGTCTCAGGTTTGTTTTGTGGTTTATCTAAAAGCTTTCATGTCTCAGAACTTAGCCTTTACCTGTGAAATGCTATTACAGCCTTAATATTTTCATATTAGATCTATATTAGATCAGATAGTTGCACTGCATCATATATTAATTTGAATGTTTTTTAGCTATGACACAACAGTGTAATGCAAAGGTATGCTTTAGTACATGTATATCCAAGGATAAGTTCATACTTAACCTTTTCTTATTTTTGTACTTTATCATGTATGCTTTTCATATGTACACAGCAGCTATAATACATTGTTGTAACTGAAATAGATTTTGGGGACACAGCATTAATATGTGGCTTTTACTGCTTGATACACCAAATTAAAAAAAAAATTCTGTATCTGTAATTACCTATGATAGGACACCATTTCCAAAATAAAAATCACTTTCATAATCTTGTTAGGAAGTTTTTCTTTATGTTGTAGCAAATATAGTCTAAGGTATCCATTCATTTCAACTACTTTTTATAAGTGCTTGACTTAAAATGTTGCCTTGTAAATATTTCCTTTGGCCATTCTACATCTTAGGCTGCTTGCCTTTTTCTTTTTAATAAGGTTTCCACATCCAGTTTGCTACCAAATTCTTGATCTCTCTTTTTTTAATTGAAATACAGTTGATGCACAATATTATATTAGTTTCAGGTGTACAGCATAGTACATAGATTCAATATTTTCATAGATTATGCTCCATTTAAAGTTATTACAAAATAATGGCTATATTCCCTGTGTTGTACAATATAACCTTGTAGCTTATTTATTTTATACATAGTAGTTGTACCTGTTAATCCCAAAGTCCTAACCTGCCCATCGCCCCTTCTCTCTCCCCACTGGTACCCATTAGTTTGTTCTCTATATCTGTGAGTCTGTTTCTGTTTTGTTGTATACATTCATTTGTTTTACTTTTTAGACTCCGCATATGTGATAAGTTTTAAATTTATAAGAATCAACAAGGAAGTTAAATTTCAATGGCAAATGCCTAGTAAAATAGGAATGAATTTTTAATTTTGAGAGATAGTATAGATTGGAACTTTAAGATTCTGACCTTATATTTCTGCTTCATCTAAAAAATGCAGGACATGTTTCCCCCGCCTCAGCAGCACACCAGTCCTTTTCCTTGAGTATTCCATTCATTCATTTTTTTTTGACATGAAAGCTTTTGTTTTTAATTTGGTTGATAAATATTCATTCATTCATTCAGTTTTTTCAACAGACATGTGCCTTAATTAATAAGCACAATTAATGTCCAGTAAAATAGAATGGATGGTAGTACTCTGTAATATACTCTGTGGAAATATTTTTCTGCTGATCTTTTTTACCTGGTAAAAGACTTCCCAGGGCCCTGCTGGGACTCTCCGGGCTTTCCCGCTCCCCCCTCTCCTCAGATGGCAGGGCCATATTGTGCCAAGGACCTCATTTCTTCCAGACTTTTGCTCCCATTATTGTGAAATCAGGAAGAGTAATTGTGAAGTACAGTTGCACAGTGTCGTTGATACTTTGGCTTGAGAACATCACTTTAGCAGCCAGAAGGTATGGCTATGCACTGGTGTAAGAGAATACTCATTTGTTTTCCAGCTGTACTGACCTGGGCTCTTGGAAATGATCAGAAAGGGTTCAGGACAAGTGAAATAAATATTTTCATAGGAAAAAGTGTCTTAAAAAATGGTAATTGGGGTCAGGTGTTTGCAAGAATGTCAAGCAGAACTGGATTCTACCCGATCAATCTGGTAGAATATAAGGCTAGAACACAGGGAGGGAAATGCACGCAGCCTTGGACATAAAACAGGCGTGGTTGCTGCAAACTCGCAGATTGTTTCTATAACCTCAAAGCCAGTCAGTTTCTCTGCATCAGTGCTACAGACCTTTTGTCTGTTAATTCTCCCTTATTTTGATGCACATACTCTCTAATCGCAAGTTTTGATGAATTAGTTATAATTCTCAAAGGAAGAGAAAAAATTTAATATATTCAAATACATTTGGAAGCAATTATTTTTAATGGGAAAGACTGGAGGAGAATAAGCTAGTTTAAGTAGGTCTGGGGAAGCTAGGTAGTCAGCGCCTTACACTCCCAGCGCCTTTACTCACTCACACACAGGCTGTGCGGTCGTCACTAACACTTTTCAGCATGAGTCAAGCATGAGGGAAAGGAATGAAACGAAAACTGGTTGAGCATTTATGGTCCATCACTGTGCTAAGCGTATGAAGGCACTATCACACAGCAGTCCTGTGAAGGAGACGGTAGTGTCATGCCAAAATTATACTTGGAAAAGTGGCAGTGTCTGGTTTTCCCTAGAGATGAACGGAGTCCACAGCTCGCTGTCTTTGGACTAGAGAACTGGTCACTTCCCAACCTGCCTGAATTTAGGTATACAGTCTAGTCCATCGATTTTTCAGTTCCTGGAGTTTCACAAGCAATGCTTCTCCTTTGTCTAAGGGCACATTTCACACTGAAGTGAAGTCCTAGGAAGACTCACAAGACTCCTCGCTTCTGAGAGAAGCATCCTCAAGCAAAAAAATTAAAAAAGAGGTGGTGAGGCAGGGTGAGGTGGGGCAACATGCTTTGGTTTATAATCTGAAAACCTCTCTCCCATAATCTGTGGGCCAGGGGCTTTTTGCCTGAGCCAAAGGCCATCCACAGGTTGGACCAGTTGCCCGTGAAGTGGCTTGACTCAAGAACTCTCTCTGATAGGAGTGGAGGAGTGCACCACACTGGATACTGGCTCAGGTGATCAATCACCTTTCCTGCTCTCAGAGACCCTGACTGAATAGGATTAAATAGGATAGCTCCGCTCTTTGGCCAGGGAGACAGTGCCTACAAAGGCATGACTGAGAGGAGAGCTGACGGAAGCCTGCCTTAGCTAACGGCGTGACTGAAGCTACTGGAGCTACTGGAGCTGGTTTTGGACCACTTGCGATCCCTTCAGGTGACGGAAAGGCTAAATAAACCAATGAATGAAATATTGGATGCTACATAAACAACACAATATTACACAAATTACACAATATTCCAGCACATGCCCAACAGCCCCTGAGGGCCCGGGCTCAGAGTCAACCTACCAAACTGAAAAACCTTCCAGCCTCTTTTTAAAATTTTAAATTCTGCTTTTATTCCTCTTTGCCTACTTTGGTTTCTTTCCTGCTCCCTCTCAATAGTTCCTAATGTGTACTTTTTGCTTGTATGTGTTCTACCAAAATGTGCATTTTTTGTGTTTTGTATACATGTGTTTTTAATTTGTGTAAATGCTGTTCGTATCGCATCTCATTGCTTCATCTTCTCTTAGCACATTATTTTAAAGTCCCTTTCCTGTCTACTCCCATGGTTTCTAACTGCTGCCTAGGATTCCATGTTCATCCACCACTTTTTCTCTACTCACTCTCTTGGGAACGAGCCCCCAGACGGCCTCCAGCTTCGTGCACCCCCAGCCAGTGCTGCAAGGAACATCCTTGTGCGTGTTCCCTTGCCGACCTAGAAAAAATTTGTAATACACACCATACCCGTGATTAGAACTGCTAGGTAAGCAAATCTATGTCTACATAATGTAAGTGCTGTTGGAACATTCTGCAGAATGCCAAACCAGCCCACACACCCATCAGCTGTGCATGAGGGTTCCTTTATACCTGCTTCCCCACAGACATGTAGCATGACCTCATTTAAAAATAAAATGAACTATACCCTTGAGGAAGGGGTAATGTATTAAATAGATTTTTTTCAAACCAGAAAAAAAGAGTAACATCCATTCATGATTTGATACTCCCTGTAGCTCTATTTGTGTTTCTATCGTATCGCCTCTCTTAGATGGTACATTCATTGAAAGCAGGGTCTGGGTCCACACACTCTGTTACTGAAAGGTTCTTGTGTGTGGAAGTATGAGTGATCAGAGGTGTGAGTTATGTTAAACCTGCTTCTCTGCACTGATGAGATCTTTACCTCTCCCTGTTTTCAGTTGGTACCGGTGAAGTCCATCTCAGTTTCTTCTCCCAGCTGTAGTGTTGAGATAATTTAAGGTTTCTAGGTTTCCTCTAAGTCTCTCTGAAGTGAGCAGATATGGGGTCTCCATCCTTTAGGGTGAACAGTAGTTTTTAAACATCTTTTTTTTTTACCATAACCCACAGTATGAAATATATTTTGCATTGTAACTTAGTACATACCTAGTGTGTATGTTCTAAGAGATTGTGTGTACTTACATACATATATACTTACATAAAAACAGTATTTACCACTGCTTTCTGGGATGCAGTCTATTTTCAAATATATTTATTATTCTTCACGAAAAAATGCACCATGGTGAGATAACACTACAAACCTATGAGAGTGACTAAATCAAAAACAAACACAAAACCCCAAACCAAAACTGATAATAACAAATGCTGGAGAGAATGTGAAGCTACTGGAACTGTCAAACATTGCTGGGGTGGTGGGGGTGAGGAGGGCAAAATGGAACAGAAGGGCTCAGCGATCTCACTCCCAGATATTTATCCCAGAGAAATGAAAACTCATTTACATAAAAGCTTTACATGAATATTTAAAAAGCTCTAATCACAATCACTGAAAACTGGAAACGACCTAAGTGTCCTTCAGCAAGTGATTGGCTAAACAAGTCACGTTACATCCGTGCAGTGGAATGACACTCAGCAATAAAAAGAATGAACTGTTGGTCCGTGCAACAACTTACATGAACCTCAAGAGGATATTCTTGAGTAAAAGAAGTCAGCCTCAAACAGTTATATGCTATATGAATCCAGTTATATGACAGTGTCAAAAAGTCAAGATTAAAGGGATGGAGAACATATCACGGTTTGCCAAGGGTTTGGGGTGGAGGAACGTACAATGGAATTTTGGGGGGTTTTCTGATTGTGGTGGTGGTTATAGGGATTATACTGTGTTAAATTTCATAAAACTGTACAGTAAAATAGATTGAAAAGTATTTCTAAGGGAGGATTGGTGCAAGTAAGCTTAAATGAAGCTGAATTAAGGTTGACAGATAGAATTACAGCTGCTGGCAGACATAGAAGTATTGAACCAACGAAGTCCGGCCCAGATGTGTGAACCAGGGTGACGGCCAATATTGATTGAGTTCTTACAGGCTGGGGGAAAAGGGTGGTACCAGGTTCTCAGGGCAGAACAGGAAAATAGACCACCAGCTGGTGGGATGAACAATAGCAGCTAAAGCTGTGGGCTGAAATTGCCACTCAGGGCAATTTTAATTCAATACCATCAGTGTTAATTGAGCACCTACTAGGTGGCAGTTTCCATTAGGAGCTTTGGGGATATTACAGTGAGCAAGACACCCAGGTCCTGAGTTCTTAGAGCTGATATTTTAGTGGGGGGGGGTGGGTGCAGAGAACATAAATAGGATTGGGTTAATTGTAAGTGCTGTGAAGACAGTAAAAGGGTGAGGTGTGCATGTGTCTGTGTCTGTGTGTTGCAGGTACTCTTCAGAATGAGTAGTCAAGGAAGTCTTTCTGAAGGAGGCAACATGATGGGACATTTCCTCTCTCCTAATGTGAAGGAAATACCAGCACTGAGTCATTGACAATAAATTCATCGCCTAAAAAAAAGTAAAAACCCCAAGCTGGCTGCAACTTATTAAATTGATTTTATGGTCACTAATGGATCACAACCCACAGTCTGAAATAAAATAATCTCAGCACACTCAGTGGCGGATGTTGTAGGCAAGCTCTTAATCAGTCTCGGCTTCTGGTTTTGTCAGAAGACATCCATATGGTCCAGACCTTTTCCTGCTTTCGACTCTCAAGCTCATTTTCGATCTTGTTGCCCTGGGAGCACTAAAACTATCTCTGAAGAATACCAGAGAGCAGGCTCTCTACGGATGTAAGTATGTTGGCACTAACAGACTTGACAATGATGCTTTGAAATGCCCACATTAAAATGGCCTGCTGACTCTGACTTTTGGCACACCGAAGGACTCCCGTTGATTCTTTGAAGCACTTAACGGATCTTCTTTGGAGCTATTCCACAGACTCTACCTCTGGCTCTTGAATGAAATTTTCATTATAGCTGATTGAAAAGGATTTCCACACTCATGTCAGTGGGCTTGCTGAGAAGAGCGAGCAGCCTCAGGGTCCCGTCTCCAGGATCTCACACCCCTGACCCTGGGGTTGTACTGCATGTTCAGCAATGCTTCCCTTGCTGGGCCTTGCTTTACTGTCTACCCCACAGCTCTAGCTCTTGTCTTGGCCTGGGGACCCCAGGGCCCAGGTCATGCCCAACTTTGAGAGCTCCATACAGTTCCCTCCAGGCACCTGGAGAAAGCTGCCAGGATTCCCTTGGCTCTGGTGGGCTCCACGCCGCCCTGTCCAACGCCTCCTCTGCTTCACTCCCCCGTGCACACTTCACTGCTGCTCCCTTCAGTCGTCACCTCCATCTCCTGCTGCCCTTCCCAGCCATCACCATTTTAATGGAAGCCTTCACCTCCGTTGTTCCTGCAGCCCCCAAGAAGATCCAGTTGGCATTCTGCTTGCCTCGTGCTTGGCATTGACATTGAGGGAGAAACACAGGCTGGACAAAAAGGTGGGAGAACGAGGCTGAATGTTCACTGTTGTGCTTTCCAACATGGTTTCCAGAAACGGACTGCACTAAAAAGTAGTGAGCCTGCCTGCCTGCCACTTAGGTTTAATTTCTAACTTCAAGAGATGGGTCTGGAAACATCTGTGGAGGTTTGGTTAATGAAACCAACAACAACCCAAAACTCCTTCCTCCTGGCCCCACCAGCCCCATTTTCTTTGTGACAATGTGTCAGGGATTTCAGCTCATAGTATAGACCTGCCATTTGTTTGGCTCTGCAGAATTTAGTAACTTTTTCTGCCCAAACTCTCCTCACCATCCTGTAGTTTGAACTCAGGTTTCATCTTCTTAATGAAGCCTGTCTTGGCCTCTCTGTTTAATACTCAGCCTGCCCCCTTCCCCTGACACTGTCGACTCCCTTACCATGCTCTACTTTCTCTGTTTTCCTTTTCCATGGTTTATTGTCTCTCTTCATCAGACCCCATTCCCAGAGTGTAAATGCCTCAAAACTGGGCATCTTTGTGTTGCTTAAAAAGTAGGCTATCCAAGCATCCTGCTGCATTTTGTACACAATATCCAACAACTGGTTTGCATTATATTTTTAAATTCAGATGGTGTGATAACTGCCCAAATAAACAATCCATTCACAAAAAGAGATTAGCAACTTATTGTCCTCTAGACCTGGGTTGTCCAAGTAGGTAGCCAATAGTCATGTGTGGCAATTTAAATTTAAATTAATTAAGACTCAATAAAATGAAAAGTTCAGTTTCTCACTTGCATCAGCCATATTTCTGGAGCTTGGTAGCCCCATGTGGCCAGCGGTACTTCTGTGGACAGCACAGATGAAAAACATTCCCATCACAGCAGGAAGTTCTATGGGACAGCCCAGCTATAGATGAATCAAGTAGTCAACTTACTGGCTTTGTACTTTTACTCAATTCATAACTATATATTTAGTATCTACATTGAGTAAGAGATGATAAGAAATATGAACTGTGCAGGGAAGATTCAGACACCTTGCTTCCTTCAGCAAGTGGGCCTGAAGATAAATATAATCTAAAAATTCGTATCAAGAACCTTGAGGCAGACAGATAAGTGCTGCAGAAATTCAGAGGAAGGAGAGATTGGCATTTTCCAGTTCAGGATAGAAAATCAAGGAAAATTTCACACAGGAGGTAGGTCAGAGGCAGAAAAGTGCATGTTCCCTTAGGTCTGAAGCACAGCACGCTCCACAACGCACGCTAACTAAAGGAGAGACGCTCTACCAAGTCATATTCTGGTGGCGAAGTTATCTCTGAACAAGATTCATGACTATGGTTCCAGGACTTTGGAGCTCTGCTTTTACTTCCTCCTCACCCCTACCTTGGGACAAGTAGTCCCACACCTGCCGAAACAAAGACTTTTGGTCCTGATGCCCACTGCTTGCACACAGTAGAGAAAAGTCGGTGGGGAGTAACAAAACTTGGATGTTGCTTCTCTAATCCTTCCCTTCTCTCTGGGGATTGCAGTCCCAGGAGGACCTTCTAATGGTGCTTCTCCTTGCAGGACAAAATTTGATGTCTTCACCTCAAGAGCTATATTCGGGGATGATGAATGATTGAATGGGATTCTTCAGATACCTGAGAGTCTCCACTTGGGCTCACTTACCTCTTCCTCTGAGCCCAATGGGGCTGACTCACATTAACCTGACCTTCACCCAGAGCTGGAGAACCCAAGAATCCCAGTGGAAAAAGACTCAGGTTGAAGGAACAAGGCATATGAGGGCACAATTATTTCCATAGGAAGACATTAAATTTTGAAGAGCTAGTGTGGTTCTCTAGTGCCACTAATATGAGATAAATATCTCCTGAGGGTTTACTGTTCAAATATGTTTGGTGGGCTCCACTGGCCACTGGCCATCTTAGTAGATAAGTCTTCCAGGGTTTATATCAGAGGTCCGCAAACTATAGCACCTGGGCCACATCCAGCCCACTGCCTGTTTTTGTGCAGCTACGTGAGCTATGAATGGTTTCTATGTTTTCAAATGGTTGGCAAAAATCCAAAGAAGAAGGATATTTTGTGACACATGAACATTTTACAAAAATATTCAGACATAACATATGCCGAGCACAACATCTGCGGATTTGGCAATCATGGAGTTAGCGACGGAGGGTCCGTTCCACACAGTGGTTTTACGGAGACACAAATTTGAATCCCGTGGACAACAAAGCCAGAGTATGGGAGTGAATCCAAAGTAATGTTAACATTTTCTACTTGACTTCAGAGACCTTGTAATTCTTGAAGACTTATTTAAAAAAAAATCTGTAGAAAACAGCTCCAGAAAAAACAGCAACTGGGGGCTACAGCAGTAAAAAGAAACAGAAGTAGTTTGATGAAGAAGGATCCATAGGCAGGTTGGTAAATGCCTGTGGGGAATCATTAAGATTGTGGGGGGTGGAGCCAAGATGGCGGAGGAGAGAGACTCACAGC